TGCACCCCTGGACCTCAACCGCAAGGATCCGATCGCAGTGTGCACCCTGGACCTCAACCGCAAGGATCCGATCGCAGAGTGCACCGCTGGACCTCAACCCTCAACCACAAACACACAACCACAAACACAGCCACAAGCTCACAACCACAAACACAAATACAAACACATAACCACAAGCACACAGCCACAAACACAACCACAAACACGCAACCACAACCACAAACACAACAACAAACACAACCACAAACATAACAACAAACACACACCCACAAAGACACAACAATAGACACACAACGACAAACACACAACCACAAACACACAACCACAAAACACACAACCACAACAACACAACCACAAACACACAACCACACACACAACCACAAACACACAACCACAAGCACAACCAGAAACACACAATCACAAATACACAATCACAAGCACAATCACAACCACAACACACAACCACAAACACAATCACAAACACAACCACAGCACACAACCACAAACACAATCACACACACACAACCACAAACATAACAATAAACACACAACCACAAACACAACCACAAACACACAACTACAAACACAACCACAAACACATCCACAAACACTCAACCACAAACACACAACCACAAACACAACCACAAACACACAACCACAACACACAAACACAAACACAACCACGAACACACAACCACAAACACACAACCACAACACACAACCACAAACACGCAACCACAACAACACGACCACAAAGACACAACCACAAACGTACAGCCACAAGCACAACCGCAAACACATCCATCACAAACACACAGCCACAAACACGCAATCACAAACACAACCACAACCACAACACAGCACACAACCACAACCACAACACACAACCGCAGCACACAAACCGAGGACCCACAAGCAAATTCGAGAACTACAATACTCACGACCATGGCAACATGCTCCTCACTATGGCATCAAGTCAAATGATTGAAATGTCATGGTGGGGATCACTCGAAGTAAAGTAATTTTTTGTGTGCATGGCCGTGGCCGGTGGCCGTGGCCGGTGGCCGTGGCCGGTGGCCGTCCGGTCATGGGTGGTGTGCGTGGCTGGTGGCCGGTGGCCGTGGCCGTGGCCAGTGGGTGATGGCGCGCGTGGCCGTGGCCGTAGGCCGGATGAAGCCAGTGGTAGGTCTTGGCTGTAGCTGCAGCTAGTGGGGGGAGACCAATGCGATATGTGGGCTTTTTCAGAGTAGACGAAGTGCTCGACAGACTTCACAAGATTAGGGTCTAGGCGGCAACATTACAATGTGTTCAGTGCACCGGTACGGTCAGGTGAACAAGAAGCAACAAGCACCCGATTCTTTTTCCAACTCCACGCTGACGGCGCAGTCAGCAAAAGTAGGGGTAAAACCCATGCAATGCCAACGTCGTGAAGGTATTTGCATGTATTTGCTGAGTTCGCCACCAAACCCAGATAGACAAAGTAACCTCGTCACATCCTCCCAAAACTCATGTCTAGTCCAGAGGGCATGTACCCTGATGAGGCCGGTGACGGAAAACCAAACGGTCTGCTACAGCCAGGCCGCTCTGGCTGCCTGCAAGTCTTGCAACCTTCATGGGAGGTGATTTTTGAATACTTTTGAGGTCAGGAGTTGTACTTAAAAACGCGCGCGGGAAGTATTATAGACCAGCCCAACCGCCATGAAAAGGTATGTGTACGTCAACCTGAGCTTCAGGACAGAAGCACCCCCCCCGCCTTGCGAGACAGCCTGCCAGCAGCTGCTCCGTCTGCGCAAGCTGCCTTGCACACCGAGCACAGTCGACTCCAGTGAGATGCTCCAAGAACTGCTGTTCTGAGACGCTTGTAAACTATCATTCTCTACTGAAGAGGGACGTGGCCTGGCCGAGGGCAAAGGGAAACCAACCAGGCAAATAACCCGCAATCCATCATAAGACTCTGCGCGCTTGTGCTGTGTGCAGCAAGTGCTTGTCAGTGGATCCAGAAATGTCACGGGCGTTGCAACCGGTAGATTGTTCAGGCCACCATATTGGCTCTCGGATGGAAGGTATCTGGAGACAAACAATGGGTGAAGCTCAGTTCGTACTGTCTAACACACCGTGTGGCCGCAGTGTGGAACGCCCGCGGAGCAATGGTGGTCCGTGTGGAAAAGCGAACCCTGGCGGGCAAGACGTGGAGCTGCCTGTGGCCGGTGGCCGTGGCCAGTGGTTAGTCGGTGTGATGGCCGTGGCTTGTGCGGTGGCTGTGATGGCCTGTGGCTGGCGGCCGGCGGCCGGTGGCTGTGGCCGGTGGCCGTAACCGTGGCCAGATAGGAACAAAGACGGTTGTGGCCTAACATTGAGTATATATACATCAGGTTGACAGGAACTGTTCGTTTAAAAAGGTGAGAAACAGTCCTCGTGCTTGCAACACGCTTGACTAAGTGGTTTCATGTTGGCTTCCGGTGGCCTGTTTTTGCCAATGTGAGACTGATGGTTTCTTGGTCGTGTGATGCGGGGCAAGCAAAACGTATCGACGTATCGGTATCGATTGCGCAGGGCAGAAGAGCGTCAGGTCATTCAGAACAGGTCAAATTAAGCCTGGACAAGAACACATAAGGTCACATTGGGCCAAGCATATGACAGGCTAGAGATTTATGAGTTTTCACCAAGTGGGGCTTTGAGTTTTGCTCGGCTTAACCTGCCGTTTATTTGACATGTCCTTGTTGAAGACCATGAGTTTGGAAGGAATGGACATGGAATGAATGGACGCCCTGTACAGTTCTTGACTTGAGACTACAGTTAGCTTGACCGTTTGCCACTGGCTGCAGCTTCTTCCTTGCGCATGTCCTTCAGAGGCAAGACCGGGATCCTTTTTCCATTCGCATTTGATCATCAATCATTCATTTGGTTTGCAAGGGGACAAAATATCGTGCAAGCAATCTCTTGCCAATGCATGACCATCCGGCTCGGGGACTGGCACGCATCCGCATGATTGCCGGACCCTCTTTAGCGTTCAATGCCGCACTCTTTGCGTGTTTTCATGCGAGACTCTCTGCCAGCAAGCTAGCTTTTGGAACATATTTACGAATGAACAGGGATCACCCTGTTGTTGTCACACACTTCTTGGACTCTATGGCGAAAAACACTCCAAAAAACCGCAACATGTGTTTCCCTCAGCTCGCACATTGCAAATCGAAAGCAGTAGTTGGTTCGCAGAACCTTTATTTGAGTGTTTTGCAGCGATCGGGGAAATTGTTTCGGAGGGATGGAGGGCGCCTCTGGTATGCCACCTTTTTGATGCACAGGGAAAGGGTGTCACACCTCAGATTGTTGAGATTGTGAAGCCCAGCTGCTGAACCCTGGGGTTTGCTTTGCACAAGTGTTGGGCAGAGTTCCACAATATTGCATGCCTGATTGCCCTGAAAATCGACGGCCAGGACATGCTGTGTTGCATGCATAGGAATGGGGTGTAAGGTTGTATAAGGCAAAAGAGAAAAGAACGCATACTTCCCCAAGCACTGACGAATGGAAGCAGCCATATCACGTGCAATTTCCAGTAATTGCAGAATTCTCAGCTTTCAACAAGTCATGTTTGCCCTGTGTTCTTGGAATGTTTTGAACAAATCTTTGTTCAACCGGAGTTAGGATCTTGACAGATGAAAACGCAAAACTGTGTTTCTCAATAGCTGTTTGGTCATCCAGGTTTAATCCATGGCCTCAGGCATGGACGTGACCGGGCCACACGAACCATTTTTTGGTGAACTGTTTTGTGGGCATAATCCAGTCAAACAAGTCGCAAAAAGTATTGCGAAGATGTGGAATTGTCGACGATTTCTGTTGGACTGTTCTTCTCAAGGTAAGGCACTTTTTAGGAATGCAGTTCGGGCTGTGGATATCAGCAGCCAACAGATTGGACGTTTCTCCGTTGCAGGAAGCAGTCAGAGGTGAGACTGATGGAGCTGGGCAGTTATCGGAGTAGTGGTTCTTCGCAAAGAACGTGTAGTCTCAGGAATAGCACAGGGTGCTTTCTCCACCGTTTCATCATGTTCCATCTCTGCAGGCTTTATCTTACTGGACGCCTTTCAGACTTCAGTTCATGGCGTAACTCATTAAGTCGTTCTTGAAACAATTTCATTCGTTGATTTATCCTTGTGGGCGGATGGTTGATGCAAGAGCAAGTGTCTACAGTCCAAACACTTTCACTTTGGCAAAAGGATGCTCCGCAGTGCACAGACATTCTTTTGCAGACCTCCTACTGCACCCGCTGCACAAGCTCAATGTCCGGCCGCCAGCCATGTCAAGTTGCATGAGGGTTTCAAGGGAGCTTTCGATTCCTTCAAAGACGGACTGGTCATTATAGATCGACAAACACCCAATCAGTACGAGCATGAGACCATCATTGACGTTTTTGGCAGTGTCGTTGAGAATGAATTTTTGTGGCATGCCTCGCGCATGTTCAAACAGCAACTGATGGTGTTCGACTCTTGCCGCAGTAGCCCACATGGATTGAAGATGCTTTTTCCCGAGAGCGTCTGCGAAGGGTTCTTCGTAAAAAAACATCTGCAGAACTACGTATCATCTACATCTTCACATCTGCACATCTACATCTCTGCTCATCTTCATCATCTTCACACATCTACATCTCTGCTCATCTCAGCTCATCTTCACACATCTACATCTCTGCTCATCTCAGCTCATCTTCATCTCTGCTCATCTTCACATCTGCACATCTACATCTCTGCTCATCTTCACATCCTCACATCTACAGCTCACATCTTCACCTCTCGCTCTTCTTAACTTTCTCTCTTCAGGCCGGGGGCAGTGCCGCCGGACCGCCACGAAACGCAACCCTCTGCGGAGATCGCGCGTGTCGAGTGCGCGAAATGCAGGCGAGAGTGCGATTTGTCCCGGTCGCGGGCAACCCTCTGCGGAGATGGTGCGTGTCGAGTGCACGAAATGCAGGCGAGAGTGCGATTTGTCTCTGTCCGTCGCAACCCTCTGCGGAGATCCTGCGTGTCGAGTGCGCGAAATTGCAGGGGAGACTGCGATTTGGCTTTGTCCGGCGCAACCCTTTGCGGAGATCGTGCGTGTCGAGTGCGCGAAATGCAGGCGAGAGTGCGATTTGCCCCGGTCCGGGACAACCCTCTGCGGAGATCGTGCGTGTCCAGTGCGCGAAATGCAGGCGAGAGTGCGATCTGTCCCGGTCCGGGACAACCCTCTGCGGAGATCGTGCGTGTCGAGCGCGCGAAATGCAGGCGAGAGCGCGATTTGCTTTTGTCCGGCGCAACCCTCTGCGGAGATCGTCCGTATACGAGTGCGCGAAATGCAGGCGACAGGGCGATGAGTCCCATCTGGGTAGCTGGAAGATGAGAACTGGCGACTTTCTAGTACAACTTTTAGTACGCGGAGTATCTGGGGAGCTGGAAGAGAACTGGCGACTTGACTACGCGGAGTATCTGGGGAGCCTGGAAGATGAGAACTGGCGACTTTGTAGTACAACTTTAGTACGCGGAGCAATCTGTGGAGTCTTAAGCTGAGAACTGGCGACTTTGTAGTACAACTTTAGTACGCGGAGCAATCTGTGGAGCTGGAAGCTGAGAACTGGCGACT